CCATTAATATTAAATAACAAGTATTAATCACACCGGTCTATATGAAAATCATGTGTCACATGATTTTTATATAGACCAGTGTAAATAACTTAGAAAAAAAAGCACGGGTTGTTACATAGTACCCATAGGATAATCAAGTGTATCTATATGCCTAAAATTTCGTGCTGAAACCTTTTGCTTAGAAGTCAAACTACGGTTATCATAGTAAAATCTTGAGTTATTTGTGATTTTTCTATTTTCTTAGATAACTCAAAATTTTACTATGATAACCATGTAGTTTGACTTCTAAGCAAAAGTTTTCAGTACAAAATTTTAGATATATGGGTACACTTGAATATTAAATGTAAAGTAAATTAAAATTTGCACTTAAGTTTTTTCGATTCGGTAATCGACATAACCTTGTACACATTTACGATATGCTAATTTAAAATCAGGTGGATAATTAATATGCGATTGAAAAAATTTTATGTAGGCTCTCGTCTGTGCCTTTTTCTTCCTTTATCATCACATTAACTTCTACTAATATCTACACTTGGGGGAGTAATCCCCTTCTTTTTTTCAGCACATCTGCATTTGTGCTTTATTTTAAATTATTTTAAAATGGAGAGGTTTAGAAAGTAAGGTTTATCTTCTAATGCCTCTTTAATGCGGTTAATTTTTTCTCAATGAGTAGCTAAAGAAGTTAGTGGTTGAGAAGTTTGATGGTCCTTATTTGGTGCTGTAGTAGGTTGACTAGGAGTTGGTTCTTTTTCAAGTTTAGAAGTAGTGGTTAATGAAGAACCTGTTTTTGATAATCTTCTAACGCTTTTTCTACTTCATAATCAATTAGCACCTGGCAAATGTCCTCTAAATTACCTTCTATAATAAAATTTAACTAGTTCTACCTGGTGGTCAGTAATTTGATTATGGGTCAATTATAGGTCCTAATTTTTTTGGCTCTTTCTGAAGTACCAATGGCTGAAGAGTGCAAATTTATCAGCATCGAATATGGTTATTGTATATTTTTTATCTTTTTGGTCTTTTACTTTGATATTTTCAAATTTTTTCTTTAATTCTATCTTACTATTTATATTTATAATTTTATATTAACTTATTTACTTTGATTTACTGATTTAATATTTTGTTTGGAACTCTTTTAGCCAGAATACTCATTTTTTTTCCAGTTTGAAGATTCATTCCTATACGTTTATCCTATTGACTCAAAACACTTAGGTATTGGCATGTCTTCTATAAGTCAGGTTCTTGTATTGAAAACTACGTTATGAATGAAAGGTTTAAGGAAAGAAAAACTTGACTGGTACTTGTTTGAGATTGGGATGTAACATTAGTCTTAAAGGGCTATATACCGACTTGGATATGCACAAAAAGGCAATATTTCATATATTTATATATATTTTCAATTTTATAAAAGACTCTTTCATATTAATAGCTTCTAATCCAGGTTCTTTCATGTTAATAATATCCAATTTAGAGTCTTTTTCACTATTAATTTCTGAATCGGTTATGATCACCTCAGACAAGTCAGATAACTCAAAAGTATTTGTGGATGATAAAAATTCTAGAGAATCTTTAATTGTTAGATCTACTGTTTCGCTTCGATTTTTGTTGATAACACATTTTTGACAAATATTAATTAAGTCTTGATTTTTTGGAATTTCGACTTTAGTCCAATCGATGAATTCTTGATCGTATCTGACTCTTTTAATATTAGCACCTATTCGTGTAATATATTTATTATATAGAAGCTAATTTGATATCTGGAGCCTTTTATATTCTTGTCAAGTTTTATTAGTTAACAAGAACAGTCTTTCCCATAAACTTTCGTATACACCAAGCATATTAGGCAAGCATTCAATGATAAGTATAAGAGAATTCATATCTTTCTACATATATGTTACTTACTTGAAATTAATGAAAACATGGTAGCTTTAAACACGTTATTTAAGACTTTTAGTAGCTTCTGTAAATTAAAGTATTATTTATTATCCAACGATGTAATTTAGATATTATATTAATATTACAGTAAATAAAAATTGGACGAAATATTTTTATATACCGATCATGCTGAAAAAGTAATTTGAAAATGATACTGGATTTAAAATCCGGGTTGGCAGATCATGGGTGATATGAAAACCGAAAATATAACTTATTTGCATGTATGCGAACTATTTTGAAATTTTTTACTTAATGTAAAAAAAGCTGTAATATTATGTAAGAAATTTCGAAATATTCTGAAATATCTTACATAATATTTCGTAATTTGATATTTCGCAATATTTCGAAATTTCTTACGGCTTTTTTACGTTTCGTAAATTATTACGAAATATTATGGTCTTATAAATTTGCTGATATACTAACTATCTGTACAATAGTATTGATATACCAAGATTGCTATATTGCAGCATTATAGTATTTTACAATACTGCATTATAATATTGTAGCAATGCTAAATTTATGATAGCTTATTAGTAATTTACCAAATTTATTATAGTAAGTTACTACTAACTTGTATAATAGTTCTGGAATACAAGATTGCTATATTGTAGTATTATAGTATTCTACAATGCTATATTACAATATTGTAGCAATGCTAAATTTATAATAGCTTACTGATAATTTACTAAACTTACTATAATAAATTACTACTAACCTATATAATAGTTTTGAAATATCAAGATTGCTATATTACAGTATTATAGTATTTTACAATACTGTATTACAACAATGTAGCAATGCTAAATTCATAATAGCTTATTAGTAATTTATCAAACTTATTATAGTAAGTTACTACTAACCTATATAATAGTTTTAAAATACTAAAATTGTTGCATTATGATCATTGTGGCAAGGCTATATATAGTTTTTTATATTTGTGAAATAATATATATATCACAAGTTAAATTAATAAATATTAGGTGTAAGACCTGTGGGTCAATAGCATAGCGGTTATGCTCCCAGGTTGCAAATCAGATGGTTGCTAGTTCAATTTCTTCCAATGGCAAATTAATGAAAATTCGAAAATGGAAGTGAAACACCATAAGGTACAGGGAACCCAGGATATTTACAGATAGACATATTTAGAGAATAGTTATTCCAAGAAGTTGTGGCTGTGAAGCAAGGTGTATTAGAGCCCCAATTTGAATTAACTGAAGTTATAAGACGTAATGTGAGGCCGAGTCTGATAAAGATACTACAAGAACTCGTGGTGATACCGGATTGGCTGGTGAAATCCCAGTACAATAGAAAGGTGATCTGACATCTCTGGATGTTGGTGCAGGTAGTTGAATCCGGGTACCCAATGTGGTACCAGAGGTCCAGGCCAGGTCCCGTGTAAAAAGCACGCAGTAACCAGTCTTCGGGTTGGGTATATAACTGAAGAGGTCATATGGTCATGGCAGGACTTGCCGAAGGAAAAAAATAAATAAATAAATAAATATTAGATGTATACTAGGAGGATATACTGTATATTCATTAGTCTGCTATAGATTTGCCAAATAACTATAAGATATTATTGGAAAAAGTTTTTTAGTACTATATTTGCAAAAAAATTAAATAATAAATTAATAGGCGATCCACTAGTCATCTGAATAAAAATTTTTTTTTATATATAAAATTTACTATAAGTGTGAATGCATAGCATCTTTATTATTACAAAATAGATTGTAATACAGTGTAACAGTAGGATAGAATAGTTAGTTTATATTCAAGCATTTGTATTATTATTATTAGTTATTATTATATAGTTATATTATTAGCATAGTATTTATTATCTTTATTATTATTATTGTATTATTATATTAGTTATAGAAATATTATTGGCTAGTTACAGTATATATATCGCATGAGTGTCTGTACAAGTGCCTCCAAGTGCCTCTGTACAAGTGTCTCCAAGTGCTTCTACACGAGTGCCTCCAAGTACCTCTGCACAAGTGCCTCCAAGTACGAGTACCTCTAAGTGCCTTTGTATGAGTGCTTCTAAGTGTCTCTTATATGGTTTAGCCGTTACATCTCCTATATATAAAAAAGTTATAAAAAGAGAGCCTTTGCTCTTTCTGCTTAAGTTAGAGTTTTTCTACCCTCTCATAGAATCTAGCTTTATTTTATCTTACCCTTCTTATATTTGTATAGTATGATATTTCTTCTCTAGGGTAAATCCTACAGGCAAGGTTATCACTGTGATATCTGTATTTAATAAAGTTAATACAATATATCATTACTATCCTGAACTGTCTGCCTACTGCTGTAAAGTATAGTAAATACTTTACTTTACTCCTAATATAGATTTCTCTATAGTAAGTAACCTTGTTACTCTGCTATATTGTTGACTGAAGGCTATAGCATTGTAACACTATCTAAAACTTTTTTTTATACTAAATAAATCACTCTTTGGCTTCTAACAAAAGTTGTAGAGTTTATCAAAATGTATTTAATACTAAAAGAATATTAAAATTGGCCAGGTAGTTCTTAAGAAATCTTTAAATTTTTTTTAAAAAAATTTTATATATGAAAAAGAAGTTTTTTAAAGATTTCTCAAGAACTACCAGGCTAATTTTAATATCTTTTCAGTATTAAATATATTTTAATAAGCTTTACAACTTTTGTTAGAAGCTGAAAAGTGATTTACTTAATATAAAAAAAGTTTTAAATAGAGACACTGTGTATTTGCACTAGTGCTTAATATAGTCAAACAAAAACTTGACCTCAAATATTTGTATACAGTATTATACACAAAACTTGTATAAATAAAATCTCAAATATTCCGGGTTGCTAATAATAGCTTCTTAAATCAGTAATATTTGACGTAATATGTCTTACTTGTTGAATAAAGTTTTTAATATATTTTCAACTTTAAAATATATAGAATTTATTAATAAATAGCGATATGTCTTATTAATGTCAACTCACATTCCCGATCATGAATGAATCTGATACACACTGCTAAGATTACACCCATATCAACTTGGTTCTGAAACAGGGAAAGCATGAGCAGTCTCTTTATGTAAATACTACAGTCATCCCTCTATATAGTCACCTCCCATATAGTTACAAACTCTATACAATCATATGATTTTAAATTCTCATTTTTTTATTATTAAAAATACCTCTAAATAGTCACAATTACTATCATATTTTTTTAGAATTTGTTAAACAATTTTAATAATAAAATTACCTCTCCACAATTATATTTACATTAATTAATAGTAAAAAGTGATAATATTTATTGTCTTTGGAATCTGGAGTTTCTCAAAGAAACCCTTTTTTTACTAAGTAACCC